GGAGGGTGGGGTGGGCTGCTTTTAACCATGTAAAGCACTTTGTGCTACATTTTTTTTTGTATGAAAAGTGCTTTATAAATAAAGATTGATTGATTGATTGATAACAAATTTAAAGTGAAATAAACTACTGTGCAAAAGTTTCAAGCCACTCAAATTTATTTATATCTTGCTAAAAAAAAAGGGAAATAAGTGCAGCAATTTATTGAAATGTGTGCAAACCTAACTGGAAACCCTGGATTTAAGGCAAAAATAGAGCCAATATATGGTTTAACCACCTTTACTTTTCACCACAGCTTTCTTGTAATTAAAGTACTCGACTGAAGTTATTTGGATACTGACTGCTTTTTTCCCCTTTCTACCAGGATGATCACACACTGGTTCAATAATGTTGAGGTCTGGTCTCTTTAGACCAATCCATGAGTGTTTCAGTTTGTGTTTTTCGTTTTTTATACGCTTTTATTGTACTGGCAGTGTGCTTGGGATCGTTGCTGCACTAAAAAATTTAGCTGTTGCTAATGAGATGCTTTCCAAATGTATTGCATGGCTAATCAAAATCTGACGCTACTTCTCTGTGTTTACAATTCAATCAATTTTGACAACACTGGCTGAAATGCAGCCCCAAACCATGACAGATCCTCCACTACATTTTACAGATGGCTGTATATGCTCACTGTTGGACCTCTCGTCTGACCTCCTCCATGCATACTGATGATAATTTGAACCAGAATTTTATTCAAATTAGTATCATTCAGTCGATAAGACGTATTGTCAAAGATTTTCTGTCCAGTTCTTGTGTAACTTGGCCTCAGTTTACCTCAGTTTTTTTCTATGATTTCCATTCCTTATGAATGATTTCATGGCAACCACTCTTTCACTGAGACCACACTGCTAGAATGCGCCTTTCTTATCTGTTGTTACAGCTCTGTATCACTGGGTTCCTTTTACTAAGTAATGTGATTGTTTGTTTTTGCAATCAGAGTTATATGTGCAAGCTCCTTATCCTGATTGGTGTTTCCACTTGGCTCATATTCACTAGATCATCTGGGATTTGGACCAGAGACCTCTTGCAAGAATTATACTGCCTAGACCAGAGTTTCTTTAAATGAACCACTGCAAGTAGAACATGGACATCCAAGGAGAAAGTGTGACACTAAGTGAAATTAATACTTGAAGGGAAAATTAGGTTACTGGTACAATTAATTTCATTAACTGAACCAATTTGGATCAGTTTTTATTAATGATTGATTACAAATTGTGTGGGACATGAACTTTTTTCAGCTTCTGAAGTTGGGGCTTCCCGAAAAACTTTAAGAACCACTCCCCTAAACTAAAGCTGCTCACACTGAATCACAGCTGCCCTGAATGACAAATTGGCTGCACTTTGAAGCAGCTGCAGGGATTACTGCAGCAGTTTGGCTGTGGCGCTGGTCTAGTCATGGTGGAAGCCAAGATGAAAGAAGAGCAGTCAATATTATAGACTGAACATAAGCCAAGTGGAAGCACCAATCAGCAACAAGCCCTTGCACATACAGATGAGAGTCCAAGAAAAGAGTAATTCACACTTTAAGAGAAGAACTGCAACATCCACCTTTGTGTGAATGATCCAATCAAAGCCTGCTGGAAATATAACCAGCACAGGTACTTTACTTTACTTCACAATATTGCACATAAGACAAGATAAAGATGCCCAGTTTTTCATTAAAGCATTGAACGTTGGCTGGACTCATTTAAAGATGGGTCTGATCATTTACCTTCCAAGTTCATTCCAGCTTGAAGACATTTTCGGAAGCGGCAGGCTGGACAGTTCTTCCTGCGGATCTTATCAATGATGCAGTCATTTCTCCCTGCACACAGGTAGTTGTGCTGGCCTGTAAATAGAAGAAGGAGAAGAAGGAGGGGGAAAAGAAGACATTAGCTAGCAAAGAATGTTTGAGAAGGATTAGCACGAGCAATATCTATGACCACACTAATCACCTGTTGATTGTACAGTAAGCCTAACAGGCTTGTGGGATCCCTTTGGTGTTAACAGCTTTACTTCCACAACTATGCACTTAGACTAGACAGCAAAATCCACGCCATTGGTCTTTGAGAGTAACGCACAGTCCATATCATTAACATTCCTATTATGGAGCATGCACCAGATTCTAAAACAGGTCCACATTTGATTATAGAGCATGGATACTTTTGATTTCTTAATAATCCTTTGTTACACAAGAAGGAACAGTTGATTTGTGACCACAATGAGGAAGTCATGTGAAGTCAATCACCACCTAAACTACTTTTTTTTTTTTTTGGGGGGGGGGGGGGGGGGGTGTATTTGCAAGCAATAGTTTGTTGTTAAAGAATTATGAATGCATATATAATTCTATATTTTACAGATGTGCACAGCTAGTCCCTGGTTGCACTGAAACTTCTTACTTGTTTAATGTTTGTAAATTCATTGAAGACATACTAAATGCTTCCATATTGTGGCAGTATGTCTTACGACAGTGCAACTTAGATTCTCTGAGATATCCAACCGAACCTTATTCTCTGCACTTTTCTATAAAGCACATTTTGGCCTGGTTGCCACCAATTCTCTTAGCTTTGTTATCTTTGGTTAAAATACTTTAATTACAATATCTTGTATTTTTTCAAATAAAAGATAATATTTCAATCCGGATACGCATGAGTCTGAGAGATGATGACATGTCAAACCACTAAGTTACTTTGTTTCTTGAGCGTTCTTTTTGCTGATTAAAATTTGCCCCAAAATGATCCTCATTGCAAGTGTACAGCAGAAGGACAAACATGCCTGAGGATGAATTTGGCATTTCGTACATTAACATTGTCTCTTGAACACTTTCAAGATCACAATCTGCAGCATTTTGTCAATATAATTGTCAGGTCTGTATTTTTTAGCTGTGAAAGGCCTCACTAAATCATTGGGCTGTTGCTCAATATTTTATGGGCTATGCTTGAAGATCTATTTTATGTCTCAGTTATGTAGTCTTGATGCAACAGCGTTTTTGTTCCAGTGCATGTAACACTTATACGACAGGACCTGGAAGCATCACATTAATCACTTTCCTTCTAGCAACAGATATGCTTTTTATTTTTGTGATGACTATTCAGTAGATAACCTATGCTGTGGAATTGGTCATAGTTTAAAGTTTCACTGTGACACTTCTTTGAAATCAAAATGGGATGATTAACTAGAAGTGTCTTTGATTTTCCCCATATGAGTAACTAACCCAACCAAGAATTTTATATGAAGTGTTGGTGGTGTTTACTCTGAAAAACAGACCATGGGCAGTTATTTAGAAAAGTTGCAACTAATTGACATCTGCCAGAGCAAAGGATTCACAATTTTTTTTACCACTTCCTTCAGTTACCAGTCACTGTCAACTGAAAGTCAGCACATTTCTATATTTCATTTCCACTGGCTCTATATAGAAGTCTGCTTTTCTCACAGTTGGAATTGTGTGTCATTGTCTGAAATAAGACTGCTTATACATAGGACACACTATAAAATGCACAAATCACAAATTAGAAGAGTTAAAAAATATATCAGGAATGCAGGCTACTTTTTCGACTTTGTGTTTACTCACTGGATTTGTGCTGCAAAGCACCAAGCGTCAGACTATAGTCTGCTCCAGCTCTGCAACACAAAAACATCCCTCCTCTATCATTTGTGGTGTTCTTGTGAAAAATTGTTTGATAAGTTCATCCAATCTTATCAATCGAATATGTCCGTTCTATGCAATTGAATTTCTACATTGTAGCTTACTATGGTGGGGAACGGTGAAAAGCCTACTTATTAGTCACTCGTGTTATAATAGCATTACTCATCATGGTGTAATGGCTGTTCTACACATTATAACGAGTGGCAAAAGCAGAGGATTCAATAAATAGTCTTTTCATGTTACTGAAACTCATTATAATAGATGATACAACAAACTCTCCAGAAACCATTCATTTATTTTTTTATAGACCCGCTGAAAACCTTCTGCATGATTGCAGAAAAACTCATTGACTGTATACAAAGTCACCAGTGTCAGTATTCCCCCTAGGGTGGAGGATGAACACTGATCTCCTAATCTACCCTGATCTTTAAAATGTAATGCTTTTGATGCTTTTTGACCTAAAGGGCATTTAATTATACTGCTGGAGACATGTAATAAAATGGAAGAGCAATACTGCACAGTGTGTGACAACTTAAATTTCGTGGGCACTTAAAAAGGAAAGGAACACTATATAAATATGAAGAGAAGCACTATATAAAAAGAATCATATTATTCAATTGACAACATAAAAAAAAATAGTACGTGCCTTTGTATACAGCAAAGCTTATCCAGTGCTGTTTTCTTGCATATTTGACACATGTTTCAGGTCATAAAACAAATTTGAATATTAGATAAAGACAAGCAAAGTAAGTATAAAGTAAGTAAGTATAAAATGGTGCTTTTAAATGATGATCTAAGCCTCCCTGTCCCTTTGTGAATAACTAATTGCCCCCTAAACTTAATAACTGGTTGTGCCACCGTTGGCATCAAGAGCTCCAATCAAGTGTTTAACTGTCATTGAGCCTTTTACATTACTGTGGAGGAATTTTGGCCCACTCTTCTTTGTGGAATTGTTTTAATTCAGCCACACTGGAGGGTTTTCAAGCATGAATGACCTGTTTTAAGTTAATGCCAAATCATCTCAATCTGATTGAAATCCAGAGCCTTAACTAGGCTTAATGAAGCTCTGCTAACTCTGATATTCCCTCTCTATTTACAAGTAACTTCTTTACAACAGTAGCATCCTGCTGGTCCACCAGTGGGCAGCTCATACTGTGAAGAATGAGCAGCAGGAAGGGTTTGGTTTGCATTAACAAGGAATGAACATGGCTGAAAATGATCGGTAAACAGTAAAATATGTTCACAGATATGGTTGTACAAACAGGGATGCATACAGAAGCTACAGTGATCCAGGCAGAAGCTGAAAAAGAACTGAAGCTTAAACAGAGTCATTTTCCCCTGCCTGCCAGCACATACACAGAGAAAATTAGCACAAAAAGCAGGGATCAGCGCTGCTATATTGCATATTACAGGTGGCGAAACTAATCCAGATGTCCACATAGAAATCATGATAAACGCGCTACGAAACCCAGTAATAATCATAATATTCCACAATAAAAATTGGTGGTGTGATGACAAGATTGGAGCTGCATGTTGCAGCCGTCGCTGATATCACAGAGAGTCATTGCAAACAATGGCGTAAACAGCCATCTGTAGTGTCAAAAGTGCCAACTGAATCCCACTGGTATTCTCCCTCCCTTATCCTGCCCTAATCTGCTAACAAGGGTCTGGCACGACCCATCAGCAGTGGATGGTGAAGCCCGTAGCTGAGTTTGTAACCAATACTGGCATACAGGGTTAGTGGTTGGCACTGTGAAGTCACAGTCAGGAGGTCCTGAGCTTAAACGTGACCAGTGGAAGGGAATCCACTTTTTGATTCTGTAAAGGTAAACCACCAAATGTTTAGTATTTCATAATTCGCTTTATAATTAACAGAAGGAAAAATGTAACTACAGGGGTGGCAGAGGTTTCATTTCTCATGACAGATCTCAGGAAGTAATGTGGGTTAAGTGCTGAAAAAACAGACCTAACTGGAGACAGCATGTGATTGCGTTTAGATCTATCATCGTAGAGGAAGATAAGATGAGGGGCATTCTAGACAGAAAATGAAGAGTGCAAAAATCATTCACAGGCAATTTATGCTGATTTAAATGACCAAATCAGTACATTTGCATGCATTAACAGATAGCTGGCGGAACAGGCTATGCGTGTTTCTAGGCAGATTGATCAGTGCTGAAAAAGTACAGGGGACATTGGCAAATCATGAATGCTAAAATTTCCATCATCATCATCAAAATAATAATCATTATTATTACTATCATTATTACTATTATTATTATTAAAAGTGTATTTATTTACCATCTGTGTTTTGTCGTGCTCTCCATCCTTCCCCATAGAGACAATGACCAGAGAAGGAAGAGGGGGAGAGAAAAACAAAAATGACAGGTATGACTTTCTCATTATTACTGTAGGCAGTGAAATTGCACTTCATATCGAATGCTTGGCAGTTACACCAGCACTGCATAACAAATATCGACATGCTGGATAACCGTTAATCATAATCTTAGTATACCATAGAAGTAAATATCGTAGATATCAGGATATAATTCAGGACATACCAAGGGTTCTTGTTTCCAGTTTCAGTCTATCTGTATCAGTTTGTCTGATACTTTTTTCCTTTTCTATGTTGGAGACTGTGAAATGTTTCTATAATAAATTCCATTAAAAACCGGCCCAGTTAATCCTTAACTGCTGCAGAAGTCAGATAATCCATCTACACCGTGTCCCCAAATATTCAGAGTAATGATTTCCCTAAAGCAAGTCTGATCGCGAGGTATTCTTTCACCAGCAACGCATAGAAATGAAAGAAAAGGACAGGGCTATGTTAACTGATACCTGAAATTAAGTGAGTCATTTCTGTGCATATTCAGTAAGTTTGGGCAATGATAAATTGAAGTTGATGTCTTAGGGTTAGGGTTAGTCGCTAATAATGACTTAAAATACACCTCAGAAAACCCCATCTAAGCAACCTGTAACACATCTGCAGAGGCAGCTTGTAGAAAGAAAGGGAATGGAAAGAGAGCAGAAGAGAAGCTCAGGGAGGAATGCATGACAGTAAAAGCATTTAATGCAAAATACGGTTTGTCAAATGCATTCTTGCCCGTCCCTCCAAAGCATTCTGACACACAAACCATTTAGAGATAAATATGCACATTGAAGTACATATGTAGCTAACCTTTTCTTACTTGTTTGTGCACATATTAAATAGGTCTATGTAACCACTGTGATTCAACAAAAATATAATCAAATCAAATCAAATACCTTGCCTGTACCCCATTAGAAGATACGCTCACTGGACATTTCATTAGGTACACCTGCTCAACTGCTTGTTAACACAGATATGTACACAGAAAGCTGCATGGCAGCAACTGGCTGGTCTGAGTATTCTGAGCTGAGATTTTCCCACAGAACCATCTCTGGGGGCTACAGAAAATGGTCCAATAAAGAGAAAACATCTAATGAGTGGCAAGTGTCTAGAATGCCCTGGCATTCTCTGGGTATTTTTTTTTTCCAGAGGTCAGAGGAATGGCCACCGTGCTTTGAGCTGCTAGGAAACCAACAATAACTTGTTCCAATCAAGATATGGTGAAGAGTATCTCCGAACGCACAGCATGTCAAACTCTGATGCAGATGAACTACAGCAGCAGAAGAACCCACAAGGTCCCACTCCTGCCAGCTAAGAATGGGAAACTAAAGCTACAAATTCACATGGACTCAACAAAATTGGACAACTGAAAACATTTGAAAACAACAGGGTCAGAATTTAGTGTAAACAACATGAAAGCATGGATCCCTTCTGTCTTGTATAAAAGCGGTCAGGCTGGTGGTGGTGTTGCAACAGTGTGGGGGATACTTTCTTGGCACATTTTTGGTCCCTTCACACCAACTGAGCATTGCTTAAACGCCTCAGCCTCACAAGGCTTGAATAATCCCAAGCACATTGGCCTGTGGTGGAACCGGAGAGTCTTATCAGCCAACAAATCTGCAGCGATTGTGTGATGCTAACAGGTCATGTACTGAAATCTCTGAGGAATGGTTCCAGCACCTTTCTGAATCGATGCCATGAACAATTAGGGCAAAGGGGGTCTAAACCAGTATGGTAAGGTGTACCTAATAAATTGGCTAGAGAGCGTGGCCACTTTATTGGAAAGCTGGAAAAGAAAATGGAAAGATGATATTTCTGGATTACGGCCTTTCCTCTGCACGCTTTTGTTTTGTTGGTAATCAAAACCAGTTGTAAGCAGTCCCTGCTTTGGGGCATAACAAACAAGAAGGGGAATAAAAGAGGTGGAGAAATACAACTGATGTACTAAACCCACAAACAATTGAAGAAATAAGATCTCACCCTGCACTCTACTATTCAACTGTGACCCTGAACTTGGAGAAATCATTAAATTTTCTTCTTCAGGACAGAGCAGAGATGTGCAGAAGCATCAAGAGCTGTAGTGTAACGGGAGAAAACTTGTAATAAATACTAACAATTTAGTGCATATGTATATAAGCATATGTAATCTAAACATCCATAGTACCATCATTCAAAGTAAAACTGAATTTCCAGCATTAATGAGGAGTGTGCCGTGTCTGAGTGATTGAGGCAGTGGGTGCAGATTGCGGGAGACCAACCTTCAACGGCTCTCTTGAAGAAAACCTTGCAGCTGCCACATGTTACAACCCCGTAATGGCATCCAGAGGCCTCATCTGAGCACACCAAACAGATCTTATGAGTCTGCCCGCTGGTCTTGGATTGGGCAGGTACCACAGAGCTGCTGATCTCTCCTTCTCTGGGTGATGAACTGTAATATGTAGAGAGAGGAAAGAGGGGGAAAACATGTGTCAAGAATGCTGATTTGCAGCATGGAAATGTCATGTGTAGGGTGACTCATTCACACCACCTTTGAATGAGCCCAAATTTAGTCATGCAATTTTCTGTAAACGGATCCCAAATATACACAGTATTACAGAGACCGAACAAAGAACAGACTCAAATCTTAGGGTGATAAAAAAAAAAATGCATCCCTCATCGGAATTCAAACCCTCATAGTGTTTGCAGTGTTTTCCCCAGGTTGACACAACGCAATGATGAGCCAGATGTCTTTTCATTAATGAATGCTTAAAGTGAAAAACAAATCAACTCTAAGTCAAATCCAATGAAGCCTATCACTAACAGCTTCTCTGTGCTGTATCTAGGCTCTAAATCTCAGTCCAATCTTCTAAGTGTGTTACGATACAAAGTAAAGAATTTTATACTTCTTGTGTAATCACACACAGTCATACACGTTGTTATTTCCAACTGAGAGATTTACACACATGAAGTGCACTGTGAGGCTTAACTAGTCACTAAGACCAACTTGACAGCTGCACTGCAAGTCAAGTGGCAGGATGCAAACCAAGAATACATTACGTCTGCTGTGTTCGACTGACACTGCCGTGTAATCCATCACAGGAATTTGACCGCATTAAAGGACTTAAATCTTTCCCCTGTTGTTTGTTTTGGTAGCACACTAGTTGGAATGTATATGGGGATTATGTAATAGGATTAGCTTGCTAAGCCTGACAATGACTTTGCGTTTAGGTCTACAGATATCTTGGCTCCAGTGCTGATACAACATCACTTCTCAACTAAGGCTTCAAGTGTTTTGCTGTCCATTTTCTCCACATGTTCAATCAGAACTGGAAAGTACAGTGGATTACATTAACTGGAACTCTGAATCCACCTCACAGATCAGCAGCACTGCTATCTAAAAAAGCATGACCCAAATTCACATGGCCTGGTTTCTGATGGTCACTGGAAAGACGACACTTGCTTATGTAAATTGGACCGCAACCAAGGGGAGTAGCGTTGATGGATCTTGGAAGACACCTTAAGCTAAGATGTCTATTCATATCTATGGTGAGCTAGTCAAGATGACTCCAACGCAGCCAAGTTCGAATGGTATCTGGATTCGGAATGCAGTCCCAGCTAAACTTCTGATCCCCATCTGAGCAAAGTATGCGATCACAAAACACGGAATACTTTTTCACAAGTACTGTTCCATTGCACCACAAAAATAAATGCACCTCTGTTAAATATGCATACCTCAATTTCAGACCTAGTTTTCTGCATCACTATAACCTCAGAGGCTAAGTATGGTTCATCAAACCCACAAATTGAAACTATTAGGAGTTTCAGCTGGAAGTACAGTAATCTGCTTCAATAGTCTAATCAAATTTGGCACATATAGGTTACGTGCAGACAATGTATATACAAAACAGTCCTTTTCCCCTTATTGTTCAGTTGATCCTGTACATAGTCCATATATTAGGACACACCACTGATCCTGATGCAAGATGGGATTACTTATAAGGATTTTTATAATAACTGAATGACTGCTAATTTTAATTACATGATATGTCAGTTAAAAGGCTATTGTCATTACATAGCCAAAATATTGATATGCTAGTGTGTGTGCTACATTCGGATCCTTCCTTAACACAAGGGATCTGGCAGAGTTTTACACAAATATACTAATGGGCGATTATTTTTCATTTCTGCTACAGTCGTGTTTTCAAAGGGCTCGATGCGGTCCTTTCACAGGACTTTTTAAATGAGTTGTTTTAACAATGAGGATCATACCAAAAACAAACATCTATGCTATTTGTTCATCATCAACCTGGCAAACAACTGCACTTGTGGTGTCACAGCTTTTCAAATCTGAAGTCATTAGGTAAATCATTTCCAGCATGAGCAACTGATCCATAATCGTAAGGAAACAAACACAGAATACCTCATTACGACAGGTATTGCATAATATTGTAAATTAAGTCTATAAAATTTGCTTTTGCAAATGTGGAATTTCCCCAACACGCCCATTTGGGATGCTACAATGAAAATTCAAGCAGACCTTAAAAGAGTTAAAAGCCCAAGCATTTCAGTGGACATAAAACCCTTTATTTCTTTTTTTTCCCTGAGAGGTTTGAATATGAGTGTGAATGGTTTGTCTGTCTCTCTGTGTTAGCCCTGAAGCAGACTAGCAACCTGTCCAGGGTGTACCCTGCCTCTCATCCTATGGTCGTTGCTTCTAAGGATAAACGGAAGAGTATAGACTGATGGAAATCAAATCAACTTTCAATGTGTTTAAACTTTATTTGCCACACTGGAACTCTGTGAATGTTGGCAAATGCTCCTGCTATGTGCTCATCTTTCTGGTGCTCTCATTACTCGTCTACTTAAAGGAGCAACTGACGAAACTGTGGACACTTATTATGGGGCAGAGCTTGAGCTGTAAATATCTGGACTTCTAGGAGACCACAAAAAAGTGGCCAGTGAAGTGGGAGACCACCTGTGACCAATCATCCGATTTAAACAAATGTAAACACAGAAGTTTAGAAAGACTGACAAATGCAGGCATCTCATCCTCTGCAGCTGAAGTGGAGGCAATGTGTCTGTTTAGATTTTCAGCCATCTAGCTCACAATTGTAGTTGATCTTATTAAAACTGAAGAAGTCTCTTGCACTGGCAAATAATACAGCTAGCTTTCATGTTCCATGTTTGTCATGAAAATGTGACAAAATATCAACTGCTTGGGAAGAAGAGGGCAGTAGACATATGGACACATTTTGTATTTGATATCACTGAAAAGAAGATGCTTTGAAAACCATATGGAGCAACCCTCATGACCAACTTTTACACTTTTTATTTTGGGTCAACTGAATAAATCTCATATTGAGTCTACTATAATGTTATAATATTTAATCAACTTAAGCTAGATTAAAAATAAAAGAATTTAGATGTCAAAATTGTGGCTAAGACTAAAACTAAATATCCTGTCAAAATTAACACAACTGCAATGTAGAGTAGCTACATGTTTAAAAAAAATTATCTTATCACTTCTTTTATTCTCAATTTTAATGTTTAAAAGTTCAGTAAACAACAACAACAAAATGTCACATGCTACAAATTTCTGTTCTGGTCTGCTACGGCATGACTCAACTGCTGGTAATGTAAAATGACCACAGGGTGGTGTTTGGATTAAAGATTTATAACCCCCCACCCCTACTTGCGAGCCATTTCATATGCTCCTCCCACTGCTGAGACATCATGTGTGGCTCTGAGCCATGTAGCACAGAGTCAAGCCTCATTAGGAATGCATACTGGGCTAGAGCACAGCAGACGTGCACACAGTCGATCGTTCTCTGATGCACACACTCAAACGGGCAACAGGGTTTGTATGTATTGACAAACAAGCCAACTCTGCACAGTGATTAAGACACAAAGTGCCAAATGTACACATGCAGAAAAGAGAAGTGTATTAACCCACCTACACACCTACATACGCATTAACCAATACTTTCCAGTGGGGGGGGGGTTTGAGGAAAAGGCACGAATAAACACAAAAAGCAGGTTGCAGTTCATGGCCCTTTGCTGCTCTTTCATCACCCAAACTGCCTTTGGAACGTGTGTGTGTGTGTATTTGTGATTTACTGCACGGACTTTGCTGCATCAGTCTAGAACCTGGTCTTAAAAGGCAAATGAAGGAAAGTAAAGGCTGGGCCATGATGACAGTGACTTCCCACACCCTTTTACTTCTACTTACAAACATCACTTTCGCTGCGTGCGTTTGTGTATGAACACATGCTAAGAAAGAGTATGTGTCTAAAAATAGCATATGGTGTTCATTGTAAACTACATTCCATTAAAATAGATCCTGATTTATAACTAATCGCAGTAACGTGTTGTTTAATGGACACCAGTAAAAATTATATTATGTGATATAGCAGTAGAAGACATAGAGCAGCATGGACAACAGTCTTAAATAAATAAATTGCCCGTAGCAACCATGGAGAGCCTGCGTGAACTGAGCTGACCTGATCTGTCACTGGGGAATCATATAGCAGTAACTACAGTGGGAACTGATATACAGTAAGCCTAGTTTTTCCATTCAGATCAAAGCTTTTTTAGGCTAATGTGTGGGAGCAGAAAGTATGAGGTGCCCATGGGAGGGATGTAGAAAATAAGAGCATTCACAGTGTTGGATCCTGATGCATACCGAAAGTGACTGTAGCTGCTCCATTCGATAAAACGTCAACATTTTTATGTGGAATTTTTAACTGACAAGCAAAAAATAAAAAGCTGTTTGGACACTGATTTATGATTTTAACTGAGATTTGCAGGTTTATTTTAGATATATTTGATTGTAAATATGTATTTTTTATGAATGATATTTGCAAAACAAAACAACAAATGCTGCAAATAATTCTTGACACGGAGCACAAGTTTCAAATTTGAAATCTGTTGTGTAACAAAAGCCCTGGGTTTTGAAAAGAAAGGAAGTCTGACAGTTTCACATAAGATGGCACAGGAAAAGTAGCCTGCGTCCCTGCTCTAGCAAATATTAGTCAGTGTAGTAAAATATAAAAACAATAAGTCTGTTCTCCATTTTTTAAGCCATTGTGTAATTTTACCGTTTTACTGTACTCTTCCTTTGTTGCCTCTTGCTACTCTCACTTCCTCACTCTCTTCACATCCGTCTCTCACTAACTCTCTCTTCCTTTCTCACTGCTCACCCCCCTCACTCTACCTCATTTTCCAAGTTATATAATATTCGCATTACGGCCGCTGGGGCGGACGCCCTCCAACCCCACCCCAGCCCGGCCTCTCAGCCAATCCAGATTCACTACTTGCAGGGAGTATGGAGGAGGTCAGGCGAGTCATGGGATTATCTAACTCACCTACCCGGGAACGGGAATACATGGCGTACGTGTGTGTGTGTTTTCAGTTTGTGTTGCTAATAGGAACCTGTGTGGGTTTGTTGAT